ATGAGTGCGAGATGGTTTCGCTTGCTTATTGTGTTGGGAATGAAGACGGGATGAATTGAAGAAGTGCACGCAAGCCAACCGACATTCTATTCAATTGCGTTGTGAATAGTCTCAGAAATTTATCACCGAAATCAATTCTGTAGTATTACCCAGAAGTTAGTTTGTTTCTCAGCGTTAATTGCACTCCACTCAGTTGTATACATTCGAAAACGAACGAAGTGATTCATTTTCAGTTCATCTGTCATCGGTGACATATCTGTCTCATCTTCCAGTATTCGATTATCCAGCAAAGGGTTGCGATATGCCTCTTATCGATAGAAAAAGTATCAGCAACTGTAATTTCATAATTGGAGCGACTTTTTTTTTAGGAATACTATTATATTCAGTCGAAATTATTTCCTTCACTTCTTCTGCTCACATGAAAGTTATTTCCTCGTTTAATGTCGGTTTCATAAGTGGCTATTATGATTTGATTGCAACGGCGCCGTTGCGTTTATTAATGTTTTTTCTTTTTGAAATTGCTGGAGCGAGCAGTAAAAAAAAACTTTGAAGAGAAGTTATTCTTAGCGTTAGTTGCTTAGAAAGTTGCTCCAGTTCCGTCGAATTATCACGACCACAACAAGTTTTTTTCTTTCCAAAAAGTTTCTTGCTTACAACCATCCGAAGCATCCAACGCACAAAACCAGTTTGCTCTTCGTTCTCTCCGTCAATTCCATCAAACGTCACCTCACTTTCCGTTTCACTAAGCCACATTTTGTCATGAACACATATCTTATTTTATATCCAGTCTCATTCTCTATTCAATGATTTAAAACTTCTTCAAAAGCATTCCAAAATCAAGCACTCAAGTTACTAACGTTATGCTCATAAGGATCAAAGTGCTTCAGCGAAGACTGACAACGCTACTTTGTTCGTACGAAAACGCCATGAGGTGAAGAGCGGATTACGGCAACTCTTAGCATGTGTCCGAATATGGCTACAGATGCATCCTGACGCATAATTACAATGCAGGTAAGTAATCTTCTGTCTGCTATGTTTGGTGATAATTCTATCCAGTGTTTTAGTTCTTCTCTGAGAAGATTTCTCAAAGGGTGGCATCGACAAGTTCAATAATCCTGACAATACTAGCACATATGCATTATGTGAGCACAATGTTCCACTCGTACGTACACAATAATTCGGTAATTTAAAGAATGCTGCACAGCAATGATAGCAAGGAATGTAATATTTATTGAACGAACAGCATCTGTATCTATTTGTAACCATTCATTATTGTTACACACTCTCATTTTGAATCGAATTCTGCATGCATTCATCGCAAACACGACGCAATAACAAACGCTCGGGGTTGACTGCTAAAATTATTTCGTCATAATTTGATCATCCTCAAAAATAGTCCATTAATTCAGTGGGAAGCCTAATTCTAGAGCCACATGAGCAAGATGATTGAGCACATCCGTTCGGATGAGCCGACTTGAATAGTTAGCAATAGAGTAACGATTCACTCTACGAGCGTTCGAAATTTTACCGCACATATTGCTTCCATTCGGTATANCTGCCGACATCCTCAGCACGATTCTGCCTATGTCTGTTCTGAGTTGAATGGATATGATGAGATTAGTTTTCACGTATGCAGCAGCATCTGACAACTGAATGATAGAATTTTGACACGGTCATAATGCTTCTCGTAACCGAAACTCTTTAACGCATTACATTTCACAAAAATCTGGTGTTGCTAGTTATTGGAAGCAGTCTTGAACTGATTGATGCTTGCTGCGATTAAATTGACACATATTGCTGCTGGGAGATTGAAATTTGACGTGAATTCACGAAATGAATCCACTGACTTCCGAAGTGTTTCACTGCGCTAACTAAGCAGTGAAAGGCATTGCAAGAGAAGCATTGTTCCGAAGTGATTTTTCTTATCGCTTCATAGCAGTCCATTCATCAAATGTTCGTTGACGATTTATTGAGTACCAGTTTGATGAGTGTGCAATGCGACTTTTATGAATGCTCCAATTTGTCATGAACAGTAAATAGTTCCGACAATCGAAACAAGATAGCATGTCACACAATTAGTGTTCAACTAGCCGTCTATCTCTTGATTTAGCTCAATGAGAACTTGCTGTGCTCATAAGTGCGAAACAAGTCAAACAGATTCACCATTTCCACAGGCGTTTCATAAACTCGTCATTATTGCCAACATTATCGCTAACAAAGTTATCGAGATGTGATCGTTGTTTCGACTAACGATAAGCAATTTTAGAATCGAGAATTATCACAACACTCCATTGAACGATGTACAAATTATAATCATTCCGATGCTTTAAACTGTGCTTTTACAATGCACAATAATGTAGATTTATAGTCATAGTTAAAGAAACATATTCGACCAATGAATGTATCATACAGTTGCATAATTTATGACATTCGGATGTGATTCACCTCCAACAATTACTTCCAAAAAGTGACGAACAGCTGAAAGTCTTCGTTTCATTCTGTTGATGCAATTTTAACAGTGCTGGTTAGGTAAAGCGATNATTCAGAGACCGTTTGCTAGTTTATTTTTCACATTAACATTAACTTACATAAATTGAAATTAACCTATAAATTTTCTGAGAAATTCCAAATATCATGTTGGTTCAAATTCTCCGTAAGATTAGGTCTTGTATCTTTATTGTGCATTCCAGCATGAATTATTTTGCTTCCAGCTTGATACTTTGAAAATTATCACAAATACGATTCGATTCGTCAAATTGTTGATGTAACAGTGCATTCAATGTCTTGGTTTCCGCAGACATTACCAGCAATCGATCGTGGAACAATTCAATATTTTTCGTTCAGGTTCAACCTAGGGAAGAGTACTATCTACGGTATCATTGCACGCACTGAATGTTTCGGACGATGGAGAAACGCAATATAGCAAACTAATCACATAAACGTAGGTGCCATATTGTGACTTTTTGTCACAATAATTCTCCTAAATGACGTCGTTGAACAAATCATAATGATTCGCAATTTTCTTCTCCACTGATCCAACTGAATCGCATCGCTTTAATTCAATCAAACACAACCCGTTCGCTATGACTCAACTCTTCCAGTTCTAAAACCATCCATCTATTGAACCTTCGACTCTTCCGAATATTTATTTTCAAATCGTCACAATTGAATACCAAGTGGAATGTTAACGTGTTTCAGAGGAATCGCTTCAGCTCACATATTCAGCAGAGTTTTTTCATAGGAGAGGGATCTCAGTCACTTTTTCTAATATCAGAAAGGGCATTTTTTTAATAAAGTGCAATGAAATTACATCAGGCAACGAATCATCCCATTTGAGATGATTTTTTTGAATCGAATTGAAAGCGCGGCTAACCTAAGCTTAATCCGGTTCTCCTACGTCGATTCTCACTA